AATCGGATCAACACCGATCTTGTCGCCTTTTTTTTTCCTTTTTCGTTTTTTTTTTCTCCGTTTTTCTTTCTTCCTTGCCCATTTATCTATTTCTTTAACACGAACTTAACACATTAATTTACGATTATTTAAGCAACCGAAAAGAAAAAAGAAGTAGAAAACTATTTGTTGAACGATACTGTAGCGATGGCAACAAATTTAACGACCACTAAATTCATACTTTTGATAAATATAGCCAAAAAAAAAGAAAAAAACTTACTTCTGCTTTAACAAAAAACAATAAACAGTAACTTTTTAGTTTTTGTAATCAATTGCCTATGGAAGTTCGTCTTTGCCGTACATTGATATCGCATACTATCCGACAACCAAGCTGTACGATACGGCAATAACAGAACAGTTACTTATTGACACTAAGCAGTCAATCAGTTGCAAAACAACTTTTTAAGGCATCCAACAGAAAAAACATAATTGTTTCTTTTTTAATGAACATTAAAAAAACAAAAAAAAAAAGTGAGAAGAAAATAGTTACTTAACCTTCTTATTTATTTGTTCCTTCCCATAACTGTAATTAAAGTGTCTCTTTTTTTTTTTGTCCGTTGTTCTAAAAGATTTTTCCGTGCAAAACTGTAGACTCGATAAGAATTTATTTTAATCTTAATTACTAAATTAAAAAAAAAAAATGAGAGAAAAAAAAAGCACGTACAATAATAGTTTTAGTTTCAATTCTGTAAATTACAACCAACAAACAACAGAAGACAATAGATAACAGTAATAAAAAAAACAGTACAAAACTAAAGAAATAAGCAACAAAAACTATTGACGACAGTGGAAAAAAGTCCAGAAGCAGTACAAAAATTCGGTTACCCCGGTCGATAGCATACCAATGACTGCTATTGGTAACCGATGCTCTGCTGATGTTGTTGCGATTATGTCTTTTTTCCTTCTTTTTTTTTTTTCACTCTTTTGAGTTGTCTCATCAGAACCGTTACTGTTGCTGAAAAAGACATTTTCACTTAGTACTCCAACAGAGATTTAAAATTCTGATGAACTTTTTGTAACCGTTGTTGTCTCTGTTTTCATTCTTCTACAATACACCAAAATCGTCATCACTAGCTTCATCATCATCATCATCATCATTATCGTCAACTTTATTTCGATTAACTCTGTTTCATTAAGTAGATTTAATGTAATTGTTGTTCCTACCAAAATAGTGCCATCAAATTTTCTGAACACAAAAACAGTGATCATCCAACAACTGTATAGCAGCAACATCGTTTGTTATACACTTCCAGTTTGGTCCAACGATGCCCCCCTGAACTGTCTGAAATTGATACTGCCAACAACCAAGAACCATTACTTATTTTACTTTGGAAAATAAAAATATTACACCGTTCTGACGGACACTAAAGTATCACAGTCTGAGGTGTCCAAGCAGTGTTTAGATAGTTGCTAAAAGATGACAGTATAAAAGTTAGAATTCACTTGTTTAAAGGAAGGAACATTAATAAACAAAAATAATTGGTTGTTGTTCAATTATTGCCTACACTGCCGATTATGAATTCAATAAAAAAACTAATGCAATACGAGGCGAAAAAACAGAAATTGTTTTCTTTTTTTTTCCGGTTTAATCCACAATTACCTTCCAGTTTTGTTTATCACCGAGTGAGATCAATGTACAAAATCTAAGAAACTTCTATTTTGATGTTGAGGTAATGGAAAAATAGAGAGGAGAAAAAAAAGTTTTTTTTTGCTAAGAAAGAACTCTCATTTAAAAGTTTAAAAATTTGCTTTTACGACAAATGAAATGGAACAAAAAAAAAGACTTATTTAGTTAATAAACACTGCCACTGAAAACAGTAATAGTTTCAGTCATTTTTTTTCTTGAGTACTTTCCTTTTCTGAGAAAGGGGAGAAGAGGAGAAGGGGTTAAAGGAAAGTCTTCCAAAAATTACGATGTTACAACTAAGAAATACAAAAGATAAACATTTAAAAAAAAACAAAAAAAAGAAAATAAAATACAAATAAAGAATATTTGCTGCTAAATCTTATTAATCAGCAACGGTTTTCATAAGAACAACAAATTCTTTCACTTTCCTTTGTCGTATTGCTTCGTTTTTCTTTTTTTTTTTTTGTTTGTTTTCATAAACATTAGCTTGTTGACAGAAGGAAGTTAGTTACATTGCAATAAGTGGAGAGGGAAGAGGCAAAATAAGAGGAAAAAAAGGAGGAAAGAACCAAAAAAAGGACGAAACGAGTTAAGCGAAAAAAAAAAAGAAAAGATGAAATTCATTATCTTAAAATATCAATTAGTTCAGTTGTCTGCAGCTCTGTAGAAAAAAAATCCAATCAAGCTAACCTTTCCTCTTCCTTTTTTTTTTTTTTTTTTGAAGTCAGCGGTCTGTAAATTTGACGAAGATAGCGTTATTAATTTCTGTGCTCATTCCACCGTATCCATCCTTCTCGTTTTCCACAAATTTGCAAGACCAAAAATTAAACCAACAACGTTGAGATGTCGCTTTGACATGTGCAATTTTTGCTTCAACGAATAAGCAAATTTGTGCACATGCCATCTTCCTTTCATATCATTGCTGCTGCTGCTGATGCTGATGCTTTTCCGGATGTATCATTTGCATCTTGCAATATACATCTCAAACGATCATCGTTGACAGCTAACCTCTTACACACAAACCGCTTAACCTCTTTTCAGCAATTCTTTCACATTGCAACCATTCATCTAACTTAATTAACTATATCATAACAATAAACATTAGACCACTATATCAACAACTGCAGCTTACCAGCAGACTGAATCGGTAAAATTACAATTCGAGGTCATTTCCTTCTTCTTAAAACAAACAAATTTGTTAAATCAAATTGCAAAACTATTATTATCGATAATCGTTTAATGCAAAAAAAAAAGCTATGCCGCTTTGTTTGACTCGAATAGTTTGGTGATCACCTCACATCAGTTTCCCATAAGGTAATCACTGAGCGGTAAGTCTGTGGAACAATCAATCCTTTTGGTAACCACTGTGAATGTGTGATTCTTTGATCTTTACATTCGCAATATCCTTATCGCTTTTGACGAATTACATTAGAAAGAATACATCAAAACATTGTTTTTTTTGCGATACTTTTTTCAGTCAGATCATAAAAAAATGGTCATTTTTTCTTTTCTTTTTTTTTGATTTATCTCCAATTACTTTTTTTCCAGGTTGCCTGCGTTTTTTTATTATCTGAAGTAGTTGATTTTTGAATGGTGGCTGACTAATGTTGACAACCTAAAACAACGATGATCAGGCAACACGATTCCAGAGCCACTGAGGCACATCAAAAACGACACCGAAACCATCAACGCAATAAGATTTTGCAAAAACACAAAGCCACAATTACAATGCCACTTGTTTTCCACAATCCCGTTAAAAATGCAATGAATTAAGACCTGTGCAAACAATCAAGTTTTAATAATTTTAAAATGCACTATATATAGCAATAATCAGTAGGCAATAACAACAACAGTAATTGTAATAATAGTTAAAAAGAAACTGTTAAAGGGAACAATATAGTATCATCATGTAGTTGCCTCTCATGATCAACACTGTCATTTACACCACTCGTCAGAAACAAAAACTCCCAAAATGTTTAAATTAATTTCAAACTGTTAACGGTTCCAAGTAACTTCACTCATAACCAAAACTAGAGTGTAGCTTCACTTGTCCAATCAACAAAAAATTTTTATACTTCCACTTTTTCTTTCTTTGATTTCCCTTCTGTATTACAAACTGTTACTTTCTTAGCATCTTTTTTACTGGTTTCCCTCTTCACTCTTTCTCGTCCGCGCTTCACCGATACCGATTTCAAGTTCTCGCGTTTAACTTTTCCAACTTTTAAGCTCTTCCTTTCCTTTCTCAAAGAAATTTCTGAAGAATCAGCAGCACTCTTCTCAGTTACGTCTTCACTTGAGCCCTCTTCTGACTTGATAGTGTTTTGCTGTAAAATTTACAAGTAAAGACAGAATTATCCTGCAAAAGTACCAATCTACACCAAAAACAAGATACTTTCTCATCCTTTATACCGGAGACTTTAAAGTCATAATCGATACCCAAATCATAAAGTCGCTTAAGTTTTTTGTTTAACCCCGATAACATCTTCCTCTGCAAAAAAGACATATTTGTAATTCTTTAAAATTAAAATTAAAAACGGCTGTAAAAAGATTTTTGAAACGCTACTTTGGCTTTGCGAACTTTAGCCCCACTTTTTTCTTTATTTGCTTCCCTCGTATTTCTTCTAGCAGATGCATATTTTGCTGGTCTCTGCAGAACTTTTTTACCTTTCAAAATACATAATGGAAGTTCACAGTTTTTTAGAACTCTACCTGAAAAAAAAAATACTACAATAAATGAACCAGTTATCTCAGACAAAAATCAAGATTTATTGCTCGAAGTAAATTTATTAGATTAATTAGACATGCAGCTTAATGAAGGTTATCTGAAGTCATAATAAACGTTTGGAAGATAACACGATTGCGAGATTTCGACCCTATCTTGGTTGCACCCTCAATGCAACAAGGTAACACATCAATCTTGCCAATGCATATTATCAGTGGCAAGGATGACTATTATAACCATAAATATTGCCTCCGCACACAATTTGTGTTTCACTCTTTATTCAAATTACGACAAAAAA